GGGCATAGAAACGAGGTACTTGGTTGGAGTAGCTTTGATAGTGGATGTCAAGCACGCAGCACTGGATTGGGTTGTGCATGACAGGATCATATATATTGTAGTGCAAATGTGGCACGACACTGCTGGTCTTGGCTAGTGGAAGGATGCAAGATATTGTAGTGCAAATGTGGCAAGACATTGCTGGTGTGCGTGATTGGCATGCATTGGTGGTGTTTTTTGATCGTGGGAAAAATATTGTTCTTCAAGTCAATTAACCATTTTTCTAATATTATGGAAAGAAAACTACAATTCTGAAAAATCCATAATGGAAAGAAAACTAAACTCATAATCGACAAATGTGAGCACCAAAATTCTTACTTTTTCTATACCTACATGCAAATTAGAACTCCGACCTGCAAATGAAACTAAAAGTGGAAACAAAAGCTAAATAAACTTTTCTTTTCTTTTTTTTTTAATAATTTTGTATCTGGATTTTGGCACTACATTTTTGTTAAACAAAAGCTTATTTTTAGCATAAGTGAAAGGTTTCGAATTCAGAATTTGTTATTTATATTCCCTTCCACTGTTCCATCTAACCCATGCCATCCCTTGCTAAACTAAAGCATAAGTGCACTTAAAAATGCATATTAGAAAGTTCTGTTCTCTTTATCACTTTCTTTTTTCTAGCTTTTACTCTTGGCATGAGATCATGCAAATAATTTGTGGATAGTGAGAAACTTCCATCTAGTAACAAAGGTTGAAATCCCAAAAATTAGAAATTATAGGGCGATATACTATAATAAACCCTTTCAAAAATTTATATATAACCTTCTAAACTTTAGACCAAAATATGAAATTGATGAAAATCTTTTTCAATAAAAGAGTTAGTTAATATGTCTAAATTAAAGTACCTTTACTTTGTGTATCCCTACATGCAAATGAAACTAAAAAAAGGAAATTTGACAGAGTATCCCTTGTATTAGAAATCATCTAGTAACTAAAATTGAAATCCCAAAACTTAGAAATCGTAGGGCGATATACTATAACAAACCCTTTCAAAAATTTATATGTGACCTTCTAAACATTAGACCAAAATATCAAATTGATGAAAATCTTCTTCAATAACAGAGTTAGTTAAAATGTCTAAAGTACCTTTACTTTGCGTATCCCTACATGCAAATGAAACTGAAAAAGGAAATTTGACAGAGTATCCATTATATTTTGCCAAAGCGCCCCCAACCCCCCCTTTTTCTCATAGTTCACGAAACAGAATAATTATGTCATTCCTGTCAAATTTAAAAAGAATATAAAGACCAGCATCAATAGCTTCAAGAAATTCTTAATTTCTTTAAATGTAAGATCTCTCATGTTATTGACTTAGGTGCCAATAAAAGTGTGGTCATGTAACCTTATTGAGCCCATTCCGAAGGGTATTCTCTATCCAACAAGCCGACGGCTTGGGTGTTACAGAGTTTTGTTTAAAGATTTAGGCAACAGAGAACACAAAAAGAGGTAAAGAGAGGGAAGTGAAAGGTGAGATATAAGAAACTTGCTAGTGGACCGTCTTTATATTTCCTCTGGACAGCCACAAACAATCAAATACAAGAGGAAGTTACTGGTTAGTAAAGACAGGTTACACCAAAAAAAAAATAAAACGCCAATAAATTTGTAATATACCTTGTGATAATGATTTTTTTATCACCTATTTCAACTCACATACAGAGTTATTGATATTAAGATTAATTTGAAAAGCTTAACTGAAGAAAACAATAATGATATCCTCACCTACTGTAAACGAAAGAGGAGAGGTTTACGTCTGCTTCAAATTGATATGCCTATCCCATTGAGCAGCAAATAGGGGCTGGCGTACGGAGCATGGCACAATTTGCTAGCATAGCTAATGGCTTTGATACAAAAAAAAAAAAGTAAAATAAATCAGTAAACAAGTCATACTCTAATGAAATATATCAAATCAAATGCAAGACAGGACACCTGATTGACAAAGATATCACCACATTTAACCGTCACTTCCTTCCCATGAAGGTAAAAAAATGTGGACAGGCGTCGTCGATGCAGAAAAATCTGCAGCTCGTAAGTCGCCAAGCTAGCAGTTTAGGACGACTGTGGTTCAGAAAAACTTTAATCATGGGTACGGTCACTCCCAATACAAAATGGAATTCACGGCATTGCCTAACTTCCAGATTTTGAATTGGGATCACAACTAAAACATCAAGTTTAAGATTACCAGCTACGTTCCCTTAATGCGTTTAAACTAGGGATTAACAATTTTTTAATCGTTTACTAGAAGTAATAGAAGAAAATTTGGGAAGCTTAAATTTGGTGGAAAGCAGTATGTATAATGACCCATTCAATCAGAGAATGCACAAGGAAGGTAGAAATTCCATGCAATCAGAGAATATCTTGCTTTAGTCCGATAATACTGATAATTGTTCTCACACATTTTCTGACATGGAAGATAACAACTGCCGTCATAGTTTTGAAGCTGTATTCAGTTTGAGAAATGATCTTCCGTTTAAGTAAACTAAGTACATGGAGGCCGACCCGGGGCGGGGATATCCTTACTTAGCCATCACCGCAAAAACAATTGCATGTTCTTTCGAATGTTCTGGTTTATGGACCCTGCTCCTGGAAAAATAGCCATGTTATATATTTGGGTTGGTAATTTTTGACACGACTTAAATACATGGTACGAATCTAACACGAAATTAATTGGTTTGGATTAAGGTTTGGCGGGTTCGGATCAGAATTGGGTGAAACTCGATGAACCCGAAAAAAAAAATAAGTCGAATTCATATTATCCACAGGACCATGGGTTGACCCGATAACCCATTTAAGCATTAAAAAGAATTTAATAAATATAAAAATATTTTATCTAACTAAACTAAGTTATTCTTTTTTTTTTTTTCCAAAGGCATTAATCACTTAATAACTTGTGTGAAGTTGAAATTATTATATTTGGACAAATAACGTATTATATTATTTTCTAGTTTTATAGTATCTTAATTTATTTTAGATCTGATTTGGGATAAAACGTTTTTACATTATTTTAATTTATTTCAAATCTGATTTGGGATTGTTTTATCGAGATTTTTGTTACTTGATTATATAATTAGCCTTGTGTGAAAGTAGTTCTATTAAAAACTATAGTGGTAAATTAGTGAATTAAAATTATATTTCACGTCATATCAGATCAACTTGAAATTGATCTGCCAACCTGAAATTAATCTGCCAACCCAAAAATTTCAGGTTAAGGTCAAGTATCAGCAGGTTTCTGTTATACCTGATCTCAATCCGACCTGCTAACCCGTTTCTGATCTGATTGACCCTCTATTACATATGGGATACATGTCCAAAATTTCCCCTCCAAACAGCAAGCAACAGTAGAACAACCTGTAGTTAAAAAACCATCAAAGGACCGTATTTCAATTCCTGTTCTCTGAATCTATCCTTTCTCAGGGCCACGTACCGTACCAACCTGTGCGACATGACATGTAAAGTTTGTAAACCCTGCCGTCGCCTTCTTATTCAGATGAAGTTAATCAAAGGGTGCTCCGGAATCCAAGGGAAATGAATCTAGCGTTCCTCTTTCCCATAGTATAGCAATGCTGCTAGTTTTGTATCTCGAAACAACCAAGTGACTAACCATTGAAGCATATACAGAAATAGGAGCTTTTCATGTATCGAAAACGCCAAAAAAATACAAAAAAATCATGCATATCAGAATTTTTCTTGGAACTGCTTAAATCTTGGAGGAACCAGAGTTTAAGAATGACAAAGTTGCCATCAAATGTCCGAGGCATGCGAGGGAATCTAGAAGTCAGATATTACATCTTCCAATATAAGAAGAGCACTCTAAATATGCTTCAGTAACAATTAATCTATGGCAAATCCTTCATCTCCACGACAGGCGAGTCATAAATAGCTCATTCCAGGCCAGTAACAACTGACGAAGAAGCAGATTCGGAGCTCAGACCTTGCACCCATTTATGCGGACGAAATTAAGGTGAACTAAGATGATAGCTAAGAGAATATACTGAAATAGAAGCTTTTCATGAAATAGAGAATGTCTGTACCATCATCTGCTTAATTTTTCTGACCAAAGTCCTACCAAAATCACTTCAAGGATCACTAACCTTTAGAGACAGCAACTAGCTTTTGGTACCTGTATATAGAGGAAAGAAAGAAGCTTTTAGTAAATAAAGAAACCACATAACGAAAAGGGGAGTGGAAAAAAAAATGCATATATAAAAGAGGGGTAGGAATAATACAAGCAAGTCATAAGTGACACATTAGTTTTTCCCTTTTCCATTATGTGTCCCTAAAACTTCAGGACTTGAAAGAGTAACCATCATCGATTGTCAATGGCCTACCCTTGTTTGTTTCTCACAATCATGCTCTTATCAACAAAGATAATGGCTACAACCCCTTTGCAGTCAAATAACAAACAAATAAGTAGTCTGTTTTTAGGCAAATTAAACATCTAACTTCACGAAAATAGTGATCATAGAGGAAGAAACAAAACTACAATGTTAGGCATCTTAATATCTGATAATTTCTGTTCGGACAGGGGAGATCAAAGCAACAACAGCAATTAAGTGTGACAACTGACAACTAGATAAAGGGCACACTTGCCCATTATGCAGCTGCAGAAAAATAAAATAATGAAAAAAATATTGAAATACCATTCATATGCAAATTAATCTATCAATGGACTCACAATTATCCACAGAAAAGAAAAAAAAAATGGCATGTATATCTCCTAGTCTACCGAATATTGTGTCTCGGAACATAAATGACAACTAAACTAAATCTATAAAGCTGTCAGTGGCAAATCCGCAAAACTTAAAACTCCTGAATAGCAAAATCATACCTCATTTTCCTGGACCTTGATGGTAGATGCCTGAATTGAGACTGGCCACAGGGGAAGCATGAAGCGGTAGACAAAACACCATTGGATTTCCTTTCTCAAAGTTGCATTATCCGTTGGTAAAGTGACATTATCATCCAGCTCTAGCAATTGTTGACTTTGATAATCATAGGAGAGAAAGCTTCCTTCATACCCAAGATACACAGTATCAGAATCAAATGGGTGAAAAGCTATTGGCACCAAACGTGATGAACGAAGATAAGAACTATCACATGCAGCTTCCCTTAGGTTGACACGGTGCTCCAATAACCAAAGCCCTTCCTCATAGTCACTGAGCGTCCACATACTTACCCTATATCCATCATTATAAGCATTAGAGCCTACAAAAAATCTCAAATGCCCATGATGGACATCAAAGAGTATACCTTTTGTATCAACGCTTTTGCTCCATTCTCTGTCTATGTCCCCCGGAAGTTGTATAATCCGATAAGAATGAGGACCTTTATAAGGATCATAAGCTAAAATTCCAAGTTTCCTATCCATAAAATGCAATATTTCTTTTAAAACAACAGGCATCTTCCAGAGAGGGAAAAGTTGAAGTACTTGCTGAAAAGGAATTTCAATATCCCTCCATTCACCAGTTTCAGAAGAGAATATATCAAGCTTGAGGATGCTGGTTCTTCCCCCACCATCTTCAAGTCGTATTACTTTGTAACTAGTGACAACACTGTGTTTCACCTGGCTGATGAACCCTACACAGCAATGAGCAAAGGGACGCTTTGATGGTGGAATTTCAACATACTGCTTAGTGATGGGATTCAGAATATAATACCGACCAAAATCCCACCCGGAATTTGAGCCACATAACAATAGCCCGTTACCGTCCATGGCAATAATGTGATCAAGTATTCCGTATACATCAGTTCCATGAGTCTGTGCGGAAGGAGGAAGATCAGACTTGGTAAGACAGGCTACACCGACATCATTTGAAAATAAATTCCTGAAAAACCCGTGCTCATGACGAATTTCTTCCCCATGTATACATTTATAAAGAAGAGTCCAGAGTTTTGGTTGTGCAGCCGTAAATGGTGATGCAATTCTTGAAACAAAAGCATGTCCAAAGGAAGGAGCGTCAATCAGGGAGCGCCATTGTTTGCAGACGCACTTGCATCTAAAGACACACTTCATTGGCAAACGGATAAGCAATTCAACCACCACCGATTCTGGAATATAAGGTAAACCTGACCTCGAAGCTAATCCAGTACCACATTCTCTACCACTATCCATCTCCGCCGGCGGAGGAACGGGACTACAATCCCAGATGCTGTCTTCTTACTCGAACTAGAGGATTTAGATGATTTTATGGGGCCCGTCGATTTGCAGTTCCACGCAAAATGCAAGGCACGGCTCTAATTCTCACTTTTTGATGATTGATGGCATGGCATCCAAAAAGCCTCCTATGGACTGCAAGTTGCGGCAAGCCGAGAAGGGAAGACATTATACACAGTTTCGATTGTTTTTCTCATTATAGGAAAAGCCGCCACGATCAGTTTGTTACTTTGTCGGGTAGGGCACATTTATGTGTTTTTGGGTTTGTTTGGTTGCTGACATATATATATACTAGTTGAGGTTGGCTGTGCCATGCACGGTCAGTGCCCATCCAAAAGCTTTCAATTGCAATCTTAATTTTGGAAAAATATAATGAATTGTTTGTACCTATTTATTTTAATATGCAGCCTTTGTTTAATTTTTGAGCTAATTATCATCAAAATGTCTCTTTTTTAGTTTTTCTTAAGTACCTATATATATATAGTTGGGTAATTGCAGATAACTTTATTATTTTTAACTAACAATTATGAAAATCAACCAACGTCAAAGCAAGATAAAGCAATAAGAAAGACTAACAGGAAAAAGTACGTTAAATAACCCACCAAGATTTCTTTCAGTTTAATCGTTAAACTTAATAATTAATCAAAAGTGTTGGAAACATATACAATGATACTGTTAAAGCTTATACATCATTTTTGAGTTATGGTCCAGTTGTTTGCAATTAAAGTCATCAAACTATAGCTGATTAACCGATAAGAAACTCCACTGAAAATAATTGCCTAAGTAACATTTAATCAGGCAATAAATAGGCAAGTTTCCAGTAGTATGATAAACTTGGCTAGGAGCAATTAAAAAACTCAATGTGGCCGAAACTGAACTAAATTCTACAAAACAGAGGCATCAAACATTTCAGAAAACATTCTCTTAGCATGCTAACAAATGGCTGAATAAGTATAGTAACAAAGAAACAACGCAAATAAAATCTTACCAAGCAAGAAAAGGAATGAGAAGGAAGAAAAACAAGAAAAGCTTTTAAGCTTAATCTAGTTGATATGTTTCCTATTATAAAGATTTACATCTAAAAAAAGAGTCAATAATAAGTAAATTAACCCATTGCTTTTGGCTCTAATATAATGGTGGAGGTATGATAAAATTAAAGCACAGCTAATAGTTGATCGCATGGCAAGTATTTTTACAAAGTACAATCTAACTTCAAGAGAAATAGCAAACATTCAATCACATTAGGTAATTCAAGGCAGTAGAACAACAAAACATGATCTGTATTATCATCCTATGCAAGAAGAAGAGAAAAATTAATCCAAGGACAACGTTTGCAAAATGATGGTCAAAGGTTTTAAACTTTAGCAAAGTGCGCCATAAAGCTGTGTGTTAACTTTACAATCGAGTGGTAACTAAGAACATAACGGTTGATAAATGAAAATTCACCAATAAAGAAGAATTAATTTTATAAAACAAAAAGAAAAATAAAAAGGTTCTCTTTCTTTTATTTATTTATTTCAGGGAAAATCATTCAAAACTTCCCTCACATTTTGTAAATTGACTTCGTTTATCACTTTTAAAAGTATATTTTTACGTCCTTCACAAATTCATATTGATTAAATTTGGTCCCTATCTAGGTTTCCGACTAGTTTTTTGTCGGAATCAATCACGTGCAAGGCACGTGATTATTTTTTAAAAGCAAATTGTCAAATCAAAATTTATATAATTCGATCCATAGTCCCTCACATTTTACAAAATAAATTTTTTTATCCCTCACATTTCACAAAATAAATTTTTCATCCGTCATTGATCATGTGTATGAATAACATTTTTTTAAACTAATATATATATTTATTTGATTTCACCTGAACAATGCGAATGGCATGTAATATATCTCCATTTGATTTCGTCTGAACGTACTATTCAGGTGAAATTAAAAATAAATATATACAGGGGTTTAAAAAAATTGTTAGTTTTTCACTCATGTTCATTCCTTTTACTCAAAAATTGAAAAAAAAAAAAGAAAACATTTAATTCTAAATATTATCCAGTGTTTATATCGAATTAAATTTTGACAGAAAAAATAAACAAAGAAAAAGTATGATAAAAAGAAGTAAGTGAATGACACTTTTAAATTTTAAGATAATCATAAGACAAAAAATTCAACTATTGGTCTTAAAGGTAGTAAGTAAAAATTTCAAATTTAAACTGCAATTTGTTAGTATGACTATAGAATTATTCGAATTAATACCGATTAATTAGATGGTCTTATTACACAACTCAATAAATGAATTATTATTAAAATAGAAAAGGCTACAAATATTGAATAGATTTACATGGTAAAATCAAATATATATATATATATATATATATGGGTTTAAAACAAAATTGTTAGATTTAAACCCATGTATATATCTATTGAATAGCATATGTACAACTACAATTAGTCTGTTTAGGTGAAATCAAATAGAGATATATTACATGCTATTCGTACTGTTCAGGTGAAATCAAATAGATATAAACATGGATTTCTTTTTTAAAAAATTATCTGTACACATGGCAATGGGAGAAAAAAAAATTTTATTTTGTAAAATGTAAGGGACGAAACAATTTATTATGTGAAATGTAATGGACTATAGATGGATTATGTAAATTTTGATTTGATAATTTTGCCCCTAAAAAATGATCACCTGCAAGCCACGTGATGAATTCCGGCAAAACATTAGTCAGAAATCTAGGTAAGGATCAAATTTGACTAATGTGAATTTGTAAGAAGCATAAAATTACACTTTCAAAAGTGAGTGACAAAAAAAGTCATTTTACAAAATGTGAGGGACGTTTTGAACGATTTTCCTTTTTTTCAACACTAAAATATCACTTTTATTAAATTTGTTTTCTCAAACAGATAAGATAGTTATATTTACTCTCTAAATAAATAAGGTTGCATTTATAATTTTAATTTAATACTATACACAAATTATAAATAAAGCTACATTTACACTAAGACTCGCTAATTTTTTTCTTTTTTCTTTGATCATGAGAGCATAAAATGTGCCTTTTCTCTCATCGCAAAAATATAAATTTTGACAGTTTCTTTAATAGTGGATTTACAACCATAGTTGTTAGCCCTTTGCTTCAATCCAATTATAATGCTACGGAATAAATTATCTTAATGTATGCTCTATTCTATGATTACAAAGATATAATTTCTCGGTGTTTTTTTTTTCTCTAAATCTCAAACAACAAAAAATCTACAAAAGTAAAATAAAACTAAAGCACAAATTCTCACAATGATACCCTCATATTTCTTTTTAAATAAATAACCTTGCATTTACATTTAGAGTTGTTAGGCTCCGTATTTAATTTTAATGCTCTACGTTAACTATATAATAAATTTCACCCATTTATTTATATGCACAAACCAATACACAAACAAGAAAAACAATAAATTAGCACTACAATTTGTCGGATTTACTATTGCCTTTTCCTTGGTAGCATTTGGTTAGACTGTCTTTTCTGTCATCATACTTCATATCACATGATTATTCCATAGCCCAAATTTTATAGCCCACATGAACATTGTATTCTTTATTCTCACATTGGGGATATTGCATTTGTTTTTAATTTTGTTCATAAAGGTTGAATTATTTCTGCAAATGGGGTATATAATTCAAGGGCCAAGAGGTTGATGAACTTTCTTTGTATTACATTTACAACTTTAAGAATTTAGACACTGCACATAATAAACAATTTCTTTTAAATTTTATTCATGTGTTTTATGGTCTTGCGTCTTGACAAGTAAAAACAGCAAGTCATGATTTATCATATTAAAGCCCAATTATCGTTTTTTTCAAAGTCGCTTATATTTTTCAAAACTCAATGTGCCATTTCACCAGCTGAAAACTTATTTATCATAGTAGCTTAGTGCTCTGGCCAACTAGGGATTACAGGGGAAAAAACCTATGAGAGAAGGCTTTGGGGAATTATCTATTTTGGTTTGGAAAAAAGGAAATATATATATATATATATATATATATATATATATATATATATATATATATATATATATTCACTCATTAAAAATCCCAAAATCAAAACACTCTGCCTCTACCTTATGAAACAAATTTAAAGGAGATTCAAACTCTTATCCACTCCTCACTAATCTTAGGATCTGTCACGAGAATTTCAAATCGTAAGACCTAATATGATTCCGTAGAGAAAACTTAAATCATTTCAATGAAGAGCAAAATAAGACTTCAAATTCAAGATCTTCTTCAGGACCCGTCTCCCCCCTTTCTTTCTCCAAAAGAAAATTTCTAAAAAGAAAAAGGAAAATATGATAAGACGCGGTTCCAACCAAAACAAGGGATCTGGATGCCCATTAACCCCAATGAAGAAGACAAGACAAGGTTCAGGATTCTAGCCTTAAATCAGACGCATGCTAAATACGATATTCTATCCAACGTTTGAAAGAAATCTTTCAAAATGGAGAAGTGAGAACGACAAGACACAGTAAGAAATATCAAGCCTTACGTTTCAGCCGAGAAAACAATTGACTTTATATTTGAGTTACATCTAGTCAAAATTAACCAATAATCAGGTGGGGCAAAATAAAGATGAAAACTGAATCCCTATACTCGCTGGTTCTTCAATTTCTTTCTATGCTGAGCAGATCATGGCAAAGATAGGAATTGATAATATAAATTATATTGCATCTTAAGATGCTCTCCAACACAGTATCAAAGACATGAAAACTCCACCCAGTCGCCAGGAGAAGCTAAAAGGACTAATGGCAAGCAACAAGTATGAACAAATTCCAGTAAACTCAAACATTGACACATCTATGTCATGTCATGTCATGCCATGCCAAAATATCTTCCAACATTTTTTTAAATAGAGTCAAATGTACAAACATAATCATCTGCCGGAAAGCAGCATTGTGACACAATACCCTTCAT